GGATTGCACGGTAACCATACCGTTGACAGGCTACGGTTTCGCTGAATCCGAATCTATCGGATGGCCATGATGCCTTGCTGGGGGCCAATCTTGGTCTGTGTATAGTAAGACGATTAATTGATGTTAATCACAATACTACACACTGTCGATATGATAAGGAGCCTACGGGTCACACACTCAGAAGATAATTTAAGAATCAATTTGTGAGAAGGGTATTTTCATCTTTTAGGACGAAATGATATTTTGGTAATCTCACAGTGCAATTAAATTTGCTGAGGTTGTTGCCTGTATTTAATTTTAATATTAAAATTAAATTAGTGAGATTATATTTAATATATCCATATATTTAAATGAATTATTATTATTAATTAAATGTTAATATATTATTATATATTAATTGATTTTAATTATAATAATAATTAATTAATTAAAATACCATAAAAGGTGTGTTTGGTTGCAAGGGTGAATTAGGGTTGGAGCCTATGGCTATTCCTAAGTGGAATAGGGTTTTATTTGTTGCACTATATAAGTGCAACTTAAAATTAAAACAAGGGGGAATTCATTCCTTCAATAAAATTAAAAACCCTAGCCACCCTTTTTACTCTCTCTCTCTCTCTCTCTCTCTCTCTCTCTCTCACGTTTCACTCTTGAGTGAAAGAGAAAAAAATTAATTTTCTTCTTTCTTGATTCTTGAAGCCTTTTGATTGTTCTAGCAAAATAATCAAGGGTTCTGCGGATTGTCTTCGTATGGATTTCCGTGAGTGCGATCCTACTTTAGATCGATTAGCGAAAAATCACGTGAATAGTTCGATGAACAGTGTTCGTGAGCGTAATCAGAGATCTTCGAAAGAGCCTCCAAACGTGTGTAAGCATTCTGAATCCTTGTATGAATTTTCTAGATTGTTGTAATGCAAAAGGTTATAAACACTATAATATGTACCTAGATTTGGGATTAAAGCATATGATCGATTTTTTTTTTTATTTGTTTTAAAACTGTGTTTTTCCGCTGTGTAAACCCGATCACATGCTAACAGATTATACTCTGCTCGAAGATTTCTCTTTTCCAATGTTTATTGACATTCGTCTGGGAACTAGAGATTGAATTATTTTTTAGTTAACAGATCTCATCTTGACCATCACTTGTTCTCGCACATGAATAACATATGACCAAACCGGCTTATTACACAAGACATGACTAGTTTCGTGCTTATACGGTATTTGAACCATATGCATCATATGTCGAATCCAACTATGATGTCTTAGGTCTAAGAATCAGTGGTATACTAGCACGATCCTACGATGCATCATTGACCACATTCTAAATGTCCATGTGATTCATCGTAATCGGTCGTATTCGATAAATAATTCACTAACCGTTTATCTATGTAATGCCTTAGTAACATACCTCTTATAATCACTCACACTAATACCATTACATGATATTCAATAGAGACATTCAACATGCCTCCTATACAATGTCATTGCCCAATTAACATTACTTGCATAGGGAATTTTTTGATGATTTGATATTCTAAAGTCTGTATCATCCGGACATTTCATATGCAATATTAAATATAATATAAATGAAGCAGTAAATCAATATGTGTAAGAACACTTTCTTTTATTCATAATACATTTATAAGATATAATGTTCTGAAACTGACAACACGATCGGTTTCTAGGGCATACATTAACAGCAACATCCTATCTTAGCACATCTTAATAATACTTGCATAAGACTTGTACGATCTCTTCTTATTTTTAAAACCGCTTCTTGATCTCCAATCTAGCTCTGCATATGTCTTCATACACATATCCTAATGCAGACCTCTCATAAATAAAACCTACCCAAATGAAAACTTATCCTAATTAAAATCCACCTAAATTGCATAAACAATTCTTATTAAATTTATAGTTATTAATAACAATAAAATTATAAGTTAGAAAATAAAAACAAAACGTTAAATCGCAGCCCCACCAACCACTTACCCCGTTGTGCGCATAGTTGCCTATACCCACCCAGTGATCCACAGCCATGCGCACCCCTTTCTCCACCGTGTTTCCCCCTTCCGTCGTATCTTCTCATCCCAATCTCCTCAACCACACCGCATCATGGGGAGGTGCGGAGTTGGGAGAGGATAGTTTAAAAAAGCACGGAAGATATTCGATGAAATGCCTGAAAGGTTTCTTTTTTCAATTGGTGTAAATTATGGTGGCGGTGAGCGGCTTGCTGGTTGCGATGGTTGAGATGTTGTGGGGGAGGGTTGGGTGTTTTAGGGGAACAACTTCTTACTGTGGGGCGGATGACGGCATTAAAGTCATTCAAATTCTTCCTGTTAAAACTTAAACTAACGACAACCACTCATGGCAGAGGGTTGTTATTAACTACCAATTACACGTTATCTTTCTCACTCTTCATTTAGGCTTTTGCTGTCAAACTTCAAGATTGTTAATTGTAATTAACATCATCTACTTTTGTCAATATTTAGTTGCAGTTAACAGCATCCTTACAACAGAATAAGCTTGTCTCTTTGTATTCTTGTAAGGATGACCATGCCAATGTTATCATTTCAAACTAACGTCCATATTTTACCATAATTTTGACGACTAGAAATGGTTTACCATAACAACACTTATTTTTCTTTTTATTGTGTTCCAATCGAACCAAATTTGAAGATGGGTTTTAATTAAGATAAGTTTTCATTTTTTATTTATTTTGGGTGATTTTTATTGAAATAATAAAAAAAATGGTTAATTTAAGATTTTTTAGATCATAAATGTCTAAGTCAACCTTAATTGTCACGTTAAAAGGTTTAGTCAACACATCAAAATTGTCATGTCAGTGATTTTTGACAAAAAAATGTCATGTCACAATATTTAACGGTGTAGGAAAATAGGAAAAACTTAGGCTCCGTTTGATTCACTTTTTAACACTTCTTAAAAAAGTTTTTGGAAAAAAGTTAAAAAAAGTTGAATTGGGTGGGTATTACGATGTAGGATTTGAAAATAAATAAAATTACCCCATATATTTGTTTATTTACTAAACACCTCCTATGTTTGTTTATTTACTAAACACCCCTATAATAAAACATTAAAAGTTAACAAAAACACCCACAACCCACCCATTAAATATGGACAGTCGGCCACCACCGCCGGAGGGTGGCCGGAGTCGTCGTATCGGCGCATGACTGGCTGGATCTTACCGGTCGTGCGCCGATACGACGACTCCGGCCAGATCCACGATGGATTTGGCCGTATTTGCTCATCAATGACGGCTAAAGATACGGTCGTCGTTGATGGTCAACGACGACCATGTGTTGGCCGTCGTTGACAATTGACTACGGCCAAAGATCTGGCCGTTAATGGCCAGATCTTTGGCCTTCGATCTGGCCTTTTCCGGCTAGATCCATCGTGGATCTGGTCGAAAAAGGCTAGATCGGCACACTACCAGCCAGATTCAGTCGGTAGTGTGCCATTATACCAGATTCCGGCCATTTTTCGACGGTGGTGGCCGAAATCTGGTAAATATAGGTTGCTGGGGTTTGTTTGCAATTTCTAAAAAAATATTTAGGAGTATTTAATTAAATTAACAAATTTAAGGGGTTTAAAAAAAGTTGAATAATATTGTGAGTTTTTTCAATTTTACTGTTTAACTTTATTGGGAATACTAACAGTAGTATTCCCAGATGTGAGCCAAACGAAGCTTTAAAGTTTGGTAGAAATAATTGATAGTTTGGTAATTTCAACAAAAAAAAAATAATTCGATACCTCCAATAGGAAAAAAGTAATAATTCGATACTTTCTAATACAATTAAGCCATTTGTAATTGAACGTAAAAGGATTTGTAAACTGTGTTCAAATGGAAGGCAAGCCACCATGAGTATAAATGAGAAAAATGAGTAATTCATTAAGATGAGGTTGCAGAATCAGCTATTCACTAAGTCTGCCTATCCAAAATAAACCCAAACAACTTCAATAGAGGCAGAGACTCTATTAAGCAGTCAGATACAATACGATTATTAATTAATAATCTCTGTTTACATATCTAAATTCTAAATTACAAGGCATCCACTTAAAACTCTTAAAACTACCCAAGCTGTTGGAGGCCATAGAGGAATAGGAAAATGTATAATTCTCTTCATCGTCATCGTCATTGTACAAATCCCAGTCAATTCTGAAATAAATATAATTCCCTTTATACCCAGAAAACTCTTCAGCCACAATAGAATATAAACTTCTTCCACCCAGAAAAAAACACTCTTGTCTTCTAATCCATCCGTCACCTGAATCCACTCACGATTCTCTTCATCAAGCTTAAAGACTATAAAATAATCACGACTCTCTTCATCAATCTTAAAGACTATAAAATACTCATATTCTCCACAAAATTCAATGTAATCGTACAAGGTAATCAAAAGTAACTCGTTTGACAACTCTACCAAGTATAGACACAATAGACCTTCCAGATTTCCTGGGTACGGGACCTCCACAACAATCAAACTTGTGATTACGATAAACAATATCTACAAGACCCTCAATATCTTTGTGCGAGTGCGAGTACCCGTAGGTATCACCTGTTCTACTCGTAAAACTAATGGACGGGCCGGGTATAGATACTGTTCCCCACTAAAATTTCCTGGATACGAACGGACCTACGGGCACAATACCCGTTTTGCTAGGTCAACCAATTAGTAATCTATATTGCTCTGTCTAATTGGCTTCAAATGTCAACATAAGCGTTTCCCTTTTGCAGGCATACCGATGGGAAAACTAAAGATGATATTTAAGATTTAGCATTTTTCATTTTCTTGAATTCCAGGAGTCTTATATTAAGATGAAGCTCTTTATGTCAACTTTCTTGGTCAATTTAATAGAATCATAAACTAAGATGAGCCTTATATTGAGGCCAATGCTCCAACTTCCTCTAATTCTCATACAATGGGTAAAGAAAGATTGCCTAATGTGAAGGATAGTAGCACCACCTTAACTGATAAAGTACATTATTAGAAATTTGGCCATTTTCAACATTAGTGAGGAATTTTATTCGATCAATGAAAACGGTTTGCAGAACTGATAAAGGCCACGAGTATAAGGACGTCATCATTACATTGTTCCAAACAAACAGTTTGAAGAAAAGTTCCCATCAACAGCTGCAGCAAACATCAAAGCATCCACATTTCAGCAGTTGCTTTCTGTCAGAAATTCAGACAAGCCGTCAGGAAGAACTAAAATAAAGAGCAACCGGAAACACAAAACAACAGAAAGCAACCAAAGCATCAAGAACAAAAAGAAATACAAACTAATTGTCCACATCAAATTGGCTCAACCAGCTGAAAATCAACGCATGTGAAGAGGAGATCTCAGCGCACCTCTGCATGTGCAGTATTTCTCAAAACATTAGAATTACAATATATATATATATATATATATATATACTATCTATCTTACTAATAAGATGCAAAACACTTAATCAGTGTGTCTATATAGATTGACAATGAAACTCCAGAAATGCTTAAATGCAGATGAGAAGCGAACAATGGCAGCGTATCAGGCAATCCCAAAAATTTTCATTGCACAATTGCTGCCATGGTTGTTCTAGGGGTCATTTGCTTTCCTTTAAATTTTTTACATGACCACCATTGAAACACCATCTCATCCATGAAAAACACAAAAAGAGATCAAACTGTTTCTCATCCACTCTAAAATTCTATTGTGCTCTTGTGTTTGTCTTTCATGATTCTCTTGTTTTCAATCTCTAATTTCTAATCTTTTCTCTACCTTCCTCTTTTTCCTTTCTATGTAATTCTCTCTGTATTTATTATGGTCCACTGATTAGTATAAAGACATTTCTTGCCCTACATCAATTCATCAACAACTATAATAATAAGAAATAAACAATCAAGTATCTACATTATTATTCTAAAGGAAATTAAACAATGAACAGAAGTGCTTTCCAGTGAAGAGAAAAGCATTGCAAGTTCAAATTTAATCTCCACCAGAGGTGTTTCATTCCCTTTGAAATGCTCCACATTGAATAACTGGAAGATTTTTTTTATTCAAAATGGAATTTCCAGCCCAATATGTCCAAATCTAATGTAACCACCAAATACCAAGCGAATAAAAATCTGTAGGTCCTTAGTAAAAGCAATCAAAAATTGGATGATCCACCAAAATATTATCCATTCTATACCAAAAACAAAAAAGGAAAGGAAAAAGGAAAACAGAACTTCCTTATATCTAAATAACAACACTTCTGACTAAACATTGTTTCACCGCCTCAACTCCAATATAGTACCAAAATGTAGACGAATATTGGCAGTTAAAACAAAGAAACTTCAGGCTTGACTCTAGTAGCACCTTAGATTAAGTCAATTTTGAAGGAAAATAAAGAAAAGGAATAAAAAGCTTGTTGAAAAAGTGGAAAGCTAGCATGTATGTGAAATAGACCAATGCTTGCACTTGCATTAACAAATAAAAACCAATGCACTTGAATGCCTCTTACATTTTCCTTTCATATATAACCTTTCAAGAATCCAATAATGGAAAATATTTAAAAAGTTTACCTAAGCATTTTATCCATTTCTCCTCAATTTCAAACAAAAGATGGAAATCAAGGAAAATGAAAGAGCTTCTTGCCTGCTCTATATAAGGGTAACTGATACATTAGAATATTTTCAAAACCATTTCTCAGATTGATAACATTACTTCCTTCAGCAAAGTATAGGAACAATTACTTTTTGTTACCTCAAGAGTTAACAAAAAGGATGGGGCCACATTTCTACAGCATATGTGCTTACAAAGACTTGCTAGTTCATAAACCAGCAAGTAAATTGATATCTGGACTTAAAGTAAAAACAATGGCTTGAAGTTATTGTCCTCTATTCTCAATAACAGTGATATTCCATGTGACATGTACTATGGGTTTTCGAGTAGGTTGACTGAAAATTGGAACACTACAGACGACTTGAGGCTTGCAACTGCAAAGAATTTTCTGTCATAAATAAAGGAGGATTTTGCTGTGGGGTTAGATTTGGTCGAGTGTCAAGTTTGTAAAGATTGTGGAGCGAATTTGCTCTCCCAAGGACAATGACCATAGTAGTTTTGCTATCTAATATTATATACGTTTATTAGCTTTTCTTTCTTTCTTTTTTGTTTTGGGAAAAAGTAGCACATTTATGGCACCATACTTAAGTCTTAAATTGCGGTGTACTAAATTCAATATATATGTTAGTCACTCTTTCCAATGCATGTGTACATTAGCTTTCTGGGATACCATCTTATGCTCCTTCTAATGCCTAGTGACTAACTTTTTCTTAAACAAAATAGTTTCCAACTATAGCCATAAGTATATAAGCAAAATTTACAGATGCCTGAATTAGAAAAATATACAAAAAAAGTGAACAAGTTGTTCAAAAGGTAGCTTCAAGACTGATTATCTCTAGTTACTCACGTAGTACAGATAAAAAAACATCGAAAAGGCCTCAGAACAGCTAAGATAACAAGTTAAAAAAAGTTAGTATCCAAGAAAACCTCCCAACCACAAGTGGATGCAACACTGCCCAAAAACAGAAAAGAAGGCCCCAAAATCAGAAAAATATATTAAAGAATTATGTCACTGCCACTTCCATGGTGAACAAAAAGAAAACACTACTATGAACTCTTGAGAGTGTGAGGCCTAGAAGAAAACTCAAAACTTGGCTCTGTACCATAAAAAATGGATAACACTATCCTCTATGATCATTAAAATAATTTTGTTTACCTCAATCCAAATGATTTATAAAACAACCAAGATGGTACAATCCCATAAGATTGCAGTTTCCTTATTCCCTTGATGATGGGCAATCTTTCAAATAAAAAAGTGAGCAACTAGAAACAGGCAGCACCAAAATAAGGTTAAAAGCCTTAAAAAGATGTACAAGAGATGAAGAGAAATGGGGCAGTGCAAGAAGAGACGATCAATAATCAAGTATCCCCCTTATACATTATACATCATTTGGGGGATAAATTTATCTTGGAGAATTTTCTTTGGATAACATCACCAATACAGATTATACTGTGTGCAATATATCAAGCCATAGCCTTCATCTATAACGGAACTTCTACCTTTCTATCTTTTTTGATGGCTAAAAGAAGGGAGAATTGAAAAAAAAATCTTTGTAGTTGTTAAAAAAGAAGGATTGAAATAAATACTTCATCAATTTTCTGGAGCCAAACTCTTCTNAAGAAGAGACGATCAATAATCAAGTATCCCCCTTATACATTATACATCATTTGGGGGATAAATTTATCTTGGAGAATTTTCTTTGGATAACATCACCAATACAGATTATACTGTGTGCAATATATCAAGCCATAGCCTTCATCTATAACGGAACTTCTACCTTTCTATCTTTTTTGATGGCTAAAAGAAGGGAGAATTGAAAAAAAAATCTTTGTAGTTGTTAAAAAAGAAGGATTGAAATAAATACTTCATCAATTTTCTGGAGCCAAACTCTTCTATCTTCCACCAATTAATTGACAGAGACCCTTTCAATCATCCTAAGAGGCTTGGCTCACTCATTAGTATCTCTATCATTAAGGTTTCTAAAAATTTTTGGCCCAACCCCACTTAGAAGTAGATATTGTCACCATAGCAATAGGAGAATCATAAGAAGTCGAATGCTCATAAACCACAGAACAAGTTCCTCAATCTATTTCTCTTACCAGAGCCTTATTCTTGCTCCATTACAAACTGATACTAATTCATATTGGAAAGAAACATTAGGCTAAAAATTGACTTCAATGGGAAACAGCTAGAGCCTCTTGTCATTTCATTAGAATCCCACCATAATAGTAAATGCATAGGTAAAAAGAAAGCCAATATTAGAAACCTTGTTTCTTGGTTTCCATAGTGTTGAAAGAAAAGAACAAAATACTTAATCTAAATGAATACATCCTTTAGATTGTAATAATGAAAAGAAACAAAGAACTGCAATCTGAAAAGGTTTAACAATATGAACCAACTAATTAATGCGAGCCACCTCATTCAAGCAAATCAAAGTAGAAATTTGCAACATTCCTATTATGTTTTGCAAAGAATATAAAAATCTAAAAAAGGATATTCACTTTGATTAAACATCATTGTATACAAAACAATTGGGACAGTTTAAACAAAACTGATACTACTAAAAAATAAAAGACCTATAACCTCAAATCTAAACGCTTGTTCAAACCCCGTCTTAGAAACTAATTGGGTCGTGTTCATATCTCTTTGTCCCCAAAAAATCCTGGCTCAAAACACAAACAATTTACAACCACCTAATTCAATACACCCCATTTCTTAAGTGCTCCCACCAACACTTTAACAAATTTGTGACACACAATTGCAACAAAGACCTCACATTGACCACAATCAGCCCATTACCCACCTTTATACATACGCTGATACTAACTTTAGCATTTATAACTATTTAAATAACTTTCAAGATCCCACAGGAAGAGTAAGTAGGATTTGATCACTACCAAAAATGCATCCAATGATTACAATAAGTATCAATTCCCATCCCCTTAGCTAAAATTCTAGTTACTCCATGATGACTTTTTAATGAGTGAAGTCACAATGTCATAATCATTTACGATGGTTTCTCCTAAACTTAATTTTCAAACTTATGACAATATAAAAACTAAATGTTCATGAACCCCAAAATTCAAAACAAAAGATTAGATAAATAAAAAACCAAGAAAATCACTAAAACATTCCTAAACAGTGTACATACTAAATCATATATAAATGATATTACAAGTAGCCCTGAGCAAAAACACCAACCCTATATTAGGCAGAAGTCCTATTAATTAAATCAGCTTTGAACAGAAAAAATCCATTAAAAAAAAAAAAAAAAATTCAAGGAAAAAAACTCTAAATAATCAGCATGAAACCCTATATTTAAGTGCAGGACATGAATCGAGACCACATAATTTCAAAAACCCAGCACAGATTGAAATAAAAAAAATTATCTATCACGTCAAAACCTAGATTAGCTAAACAACGTGATAGACAAACAAATAAATCAAGAAAGAAAAACTCACCATCAAATAAAAAGAAAAAGGCAAATGATTAGGAAGCGTTGGCAGTTTTGGGAATGAGAGGGATGGCGGCGCCCTTGGAAGTCTTCAATTTGGTCTCCTCTTCACGGATCTTTTGCATCTGGAGCATACGTTCCATGACGAGTTCGTACTCGCATTTCTCGTAGGAGTGGCGTTCGTTTTCGCACTTCCACGGCAAGTAGAATTCGGTCTGTCTGCATTTGTTGAGAGGGATAAGCAAGTGGGCGCATTGATCTCTGTACGGAATAGGGACTCTCGCCTCCACCATTTCCTCTTGCGTTGCTATCATCTTCTTCGATGATCCGGGAACTTCCATGATCTCTGATTAATAGATGGTTCTGGTTTTGGTTTGTTTGTTTTGTTTGTGTTTTGAGTGCTGAGTCTGGGTGGCGTCACCGCCCGTACGGGTGTTTCACAAATGGCTTTGCTCTACGGAGTCGTTTTGGGTTTTCCCTGCTACCAGTCCAGTTATCTCACCCGTTGAGTTTATATAATTTTTTTCAAAAAGATACTAAATTCATCCAATATTCTCACCGAAAAATGATAGAATTATTGAAAGTTACATATCGAATTTGTATACCGAATAACGTGATAAAATCTTGATCGTTGATTAATGTTAACTTATAATGAATCAACGGTTAAATTTTGTCACGTCATTCGGTGCACAAATTTGATGTATACCTTTCGATAACTGTAACATTACTCTATTCTCACCACTTGAGTTTATATAAAGGATGTTATCAGTTAAGGTTATTTAATTTTTAAATTAATACTAAAATTATTATTAACATTTATTATTATAGATATCATAATTTTATAAACAAAATAAAGTTTCGTTAACTTCATAAACTATAAAATAAAAGTTAAGATAAGTTGTGATCAATTAATTTGTTATATATATTTTTCTTCAATTGGTTAAAATTGCATTTATATTTTTAATTAATATTATCTTTAATGGTTAAAATCTATTATGTTCCATACATAGTACATACATAAATACATTATCCTAGTATAACTGTATCAGGGTCATGCTTGAATATTATTGGATTCACTAATTGGATTGAAATTATATTTTATATATAAGGATTTAATGGTGATCAAGTATGGTCTTGACTAGAGAATTGCTCTCTATATGTGTTCACGTAGGATTTTGCACCAAACACAGGAATCTCTAAAAAGCCCTTCGTGAGGTTGATTTCTGATGTGGATAGATTTTGGAAATTGTTTCAACTATGGAGTCAATGATACCCTATGATAGACAAAACAAAGGTCCGGGGTGCACTACCAGTTAGTATTGACACTCCGATGCTCAAGTCAGCACAATATTTGAGACATAAATAAGTGATAATCCTACAATTACATTGTTTTCCAAATGATTTTATTAGGATTTTTAATGCTTCTCATTGGATTTTGGCCTAAATTGTTACTTAATTCAGTATATTTTATGTTTCAGGCCTAAACGTGCTTTTGGAGAGAAACATAGCAAATATGAGCTTGTTCACCTAGATTTGATCATAATTCAGAAGATTGGAGAAGTTCTGAGTTGGAAGCACCGTTGGCTCTTGCTCAGACTAGAAACCAAGAAGATTGAAGATTCAAGCGAAAAAGCAAGCTGAGGGCAGTTTCGTAAATTCAGCTAGAAAAACAGCACTTTGCCAGGGAAAGGTATTTCCTTTGCTGCAACGAAGTTTCTCCTGGAATATCGGGCAACTACGAGTAAAGCAACTTCGCCGTGACGAAGAAAAAGCTTTGCCACGGCGAAACTGGAAAAATTCTGTTTTTCTAAATGGCGCATTTTGACCAAATGGCGGTTTGTCCTAGGGTTTTGTGTTAGTATTTAAGAAAAAGTTAGTCATTTTGTTAGAAATTTCGTCATTTTTATAAGATTTTGGAAGAGAAGAAGAGATTTTCAAGATTTGGGCTTCAAATTAAAGAAGTTTCTCTCTCTTTTCAATTACTTCTATGTTGAACTCAGATATTTCTATTTTGCTTATGTTAGATTTCGTTTTTATCATGAACTAACTTGTTTTAGTTAGGGTTTTGATGGATCCTTGATTTTACTTGCTTAATTTATAAATTTCTTACTGTTTTTAAGTTCTATTGTTGTGATTAAGTATTTATCTCTGTTTTTATTGTGTTAAGTTTTCATTCAACTAACTTGTTGAGGTTGAGAAGCGATTCATGTGTGACTCCTAAGAATTAATACCTTAGGTTGAGCGAATACTAGAGATAGATAAATGTGACCTTTGTAATCTTGATAGGATTCCACAACTCTTAAGAGCCCTTGAACTATCAAACCTCAAATTTTGGGTGCAGAGGCTTAATAGGAAATAGGAATAGGTGTGATGGTATAACCTGAGAGGGAGTGTCAAACATCTTAGGAGTTCGATTTTTAGTCATCACAATAGAATTTGAACAATTGGAATTCATAGGTTAAGTTAGTGTAACTTGGTGAAGTTAAAAGCCCTAACTTCAATGTTTTAAGTAAATTTCATCCATTTGCATTAATTTAGTTTTAATTACAATTCTAGCAAGTTTTAATACTTTGTTTTAGTTTAATTCATTTTGTCTCCCATAAATCCAAATTTTGTGCCCTTCAATTAGTAATAGATTAGAAAATTTGGTAGTCAATTCACAATCTCTATGGGACGATACTCACTTCACCTTTTTATTACTTTTTGCGATTAGTGTGCTTGTTATTTTTGCTTGTGAACGAAATCATACGCATCAATAAGCAGTAAAACAGTGTATAGCTTAATTGAGTGGGTTCTAAATGTCTAAAACCTGATACAAACCATCCTTTATGTAATGTGAAGGAGATTCCCTTGGATTGAGTTTCCTCCTTGGTGTAGGAGTCCTTACATGCTAGGGGATCAGCTTGACAAGGCAGTAGGGTGGTTGGAATGTTCCCCAAGTGAAATGTCCAAATTACTCTTGCAAAATATCGGCACTACATAGGCCCCTTGGTTTCTAGAAGTATTTTTTGATTCTAGAAACCAACTCTATGCACTACAAGAAATATATTATGTTGTGACAAAATTAATTTTATCAAATGTTATTTTGTCAGGAGTAATATATTATTATGATAAAATAAAGAAATATCACATTAAGTATGACAAAGAGAATATATAGTGATTAAAAAAAAAATTGTCATAATATTTTATCACGATAAAGAGACTCATAATAAATGTAGTGAAGAAAGACATTTTTATCATAATATTTCGTCACAAATTTTTTGCACCAAATTAAATTGTTTATTATGGCAAACATATTTTGTCATAAAACATTTTAGTTACTATATTTAGTTATACATGCTATAACCACAAATTATTTTGTCATAAAAGAATTTATTTATTATTAAAAAAAAATTGTCATAATATATGCTGAAATAGACGTATTAATGACAAAATATTTGAGTCAAAATTTAAGCGTTGAGATAAATTGTTTTTCTTAACAAACATATTTGTCATAAAAAACTTTAGTCACTATATCTAATAATACATGCTATAATTACAAACAAATTTATCACAAAAGAATTATTTATCATTACCCAAAAAAAAAAAAAAAATTATCATTTATAAATGTTAGAATGGAGGTATTAGTGACAAAATATTTGAGTCAGCCATGGTTCCAAAAAGGGAAAAATTGAGTAGGGCAAAAAAGGGAAAAAGAGAATGTCCTTATGAACTCTCCTTTGATTCTCCTAAATTTCTTCGGTGTTACAACAAAAAAGGGAAATTTTGAATTGGGCGAAAAAGGGAAAAATTGAATTGGGAAAACCAAATCTTGAAAGAAGAAAAATAAAACGCAAGAAGGAGAAGAAGCAGGGAGAAGGGACAAACACACTCTAAAACGCAATTGTTTCCCTTACACTTTAGTTGTGAATTTGTATTTTTAGATAGATATATCAAACAAAGTAAATATATATAATTAGTAAGGAAAAAATATAAATGGGTACATTTGCTTGAGTGGTTAAAGGGAAGAGTTGAGAAAAGAGTGTGTAGGTTTGAATCCCACGATACCCATTTTTTCAAAAAATGGTTTTTCCTTTGGTCTTTTTTTTGTTTTAATTTATTTCATTAATGTTTAGCAACTCGGTCAATGATCTTTGCATACAATTTACTGTTAATTTGGAAAAAGAAAAAAAATTTAGCATATTAGAATATGTTCTAATCCAATAAAAATACAATGATAATCAATGTTTAAGACTTCTTATATAGACTTACAAAATTATCTTAATTCCTAATCCTAAAAAGATTCTAATGGTATAATATCCTAATGAGTAATATTCTTAATCATACCTAGTAATACTTAATCATAATACTACTCCAACTTCTAGTAATAACTCTAGACTAATGAAACTTGACTAAATTAATTAATATATATAAAAAAAAAAGACTATATAACCAGTATTTGATTAATGAATAACATAATCTTTAGACCATACAGGCGGTTGTCTCATCCTCTTTGGAACATTTTCATTCTTTTGAGTTGTCACGTACTAAAGTATATACGGTATATGATCATATGAAATTAAAAAATTAAGGTAAATTATGCAATTCAAGCTACCCTTGAGGTGGGTGTTTGACATGTGGTTTAGTTAATACTCTATTTAATTTAATGTGCCATTTCAAATTTATTGCAGCAAAGACTCGATTGAGTGATTGATTTAAACTTCTAATTTTATGGGGCGAATGAGAATATATATGCATGTAAATGATGAATATGTATTGAATAATGCTACGGACACTGATGCTTTGCACCGAATTTTTACATTGAACAACGTGTCCACTGAATCAGACGAGCCACGTATCATGTTAACAAATATTTCGCGAATAAACGGTCATCCATCAAATATGGACAACCGTTCATTGTTATTGGACGGCCGTTCATTTGAAATGGACTTCCGTCCATATTATATGGACGGCCATCCATCTAGCCCGTTCATAGTTTAAACTAAAAAAATTTGGCCTATATTGTTTATGGACGCCGGTCGACCTCATAAGAGGATGGACGTCCATCTTTTAATATTAACATAAGAGGACGACTGTCCATCTCGCATCCATCTTCTTCTTCCTCTTCCTCTTGCTCGCGTCCTTTCTTTTCTTTGTAGTACTTTTCGCATTCTTTTGCACACTGCAACTTCTGTTCCTCGTCATACTACCTTTGGACTTTGCACTAGTGCTTGCACTGTTCCAACAAGCTGCACTAAACATCTGGAAAGAAATTCAAGTTAGAGGCCCTACTTTGGAGATTTTGATACACTCTTGTTGGTGTCATCAAGTGAGGATTGGCTCACACCCAGCTTCTTTGTAG